CATGCTTGTGCCACGGTCGGTGAGTAACTATGGAAAAGCAAGAACCTCGCGTCGGCTCATGCGCCTGCAGACGATGGAGTTGGCGTCGTTGCTGAGAGACAACCGCGCCAGTTCATTTAACAAATACGGGAAAGAGCTACGATGAGGGGTGGAGGCGCTTATCTTCGCGCGTTAAAACCAAAGTTGTTCTTCTTTTCACCCGTTCGCTATGAAACTCAAAATAAAAAACAAACAAACAAAAAACACACTTCATTTCCGTTTTGATCCCCGCGTTCGGTAAAGGCCCAGATATATATATACATACATACAGTATATTTATATTGCATCTAATATAAATAAAGAAAAATACGCTAATATGAAATTTGCCCTCTCTTCCGCCCACGCTGCTGAGGCATGTGCCCCGGTGCGTGCCCGCCGCAGCCCGCCTCACGGAGACAAGGCAGTGGAAGGGAAGGGGAGAGAAGGTTGTAACGGGTTGGCAGCCACTGCCTGGCCGTCCGGCGCGACGGCGGTTGGTCGTGCAGCCGCTTCCTTGATGCGACGTCGCTCCGCCAGGGTCTTGCGGCTGAAGCTGCGGTACGAGAGGTGCACGTACACGCTGGAGATGAAGGCGGTGCAGTTGATGCCCAGCATCAGCGCCAGCGGCATCACGACGCAGCGGCGTTCGTAGCAGACCCTGGTGCCAAGCTTGTCCGCCTCACGGGTGTACCACTCGCCGTAGGTGAACCGGTTCAACAGAATCGTCGCAAACACCGTCGACAGAAAACAGAAGTTGTAGTGCTTGGCGACGTCCCTGGCGTAGATGGTGCGCATCATCAAGACAACCACACCGGCGCGTATCCCGTTGGCCAGCGCGCCCAAAACGTACGGCAGCGGAAGGGCGGCTTTTGGCACGCTGAGGATGAGCACCAGCGCCACGACCATGACGGAGGCCGGGATGAAGAGGGCCATCGTCATGGGAATGCGGTCCTCCGGCTTCTTCTTCTGCGACCACATTTCAAACCCGCTCATCATCAGACGCCCAACCGCGCTGCCAACGCCGTCTAGCACAGTCAGCAGTGTTCTCAATGACGGGGAGACCTTCTCACCGGAGAGTGCGGCAAAGATGTAACTTGCGTTGAGCATCAGGACAGTCTCAGCGCCCACTGTGGCGAACAGCGACCACAGTACGGCCCACAGCCTCAGCGTGCAGGCACTTTGCAGGAAGGTCGTCTGGTACTGCGGTGCAATGTAGTCTACGTCGGTCTCCACGCCCGCCGTGGACTTTTTCTCTGAACTTTCATCCTCCGTTAACCTCTCAGGAGTTTCGTTTGAGAGCCTCTCTTTTTGGGGGTCCTGCGTCGGCGCCTCGGCGTCGCGTTGGCGCCGCCGCGACCACCACTCCCGTTCGAGGATCTTCAGTGGAAGTGGCATGAGCGTGCAATTCAGCAAGACCAGCACAATGGCGACGACCGCAAACGCCACCCTGTAGCGCTTCCCAAGGTCGTAGGAGACCACGAGTGCCCCCTCCAGCGGCATAAACACAATGAGCACAATCACAAAGAAGAGCCCAACGGCGAAGCGGGGAATAGGCGTCTTCTGGCGCAGATACTGCGCCCGGGTGGTGAGGCGACGCTGCTTCTCCTCCTCGCTCAGGTGCGTCTGCTGGTAGCCGGTCAGGTGGTAGGGGGGCAGACGGACGACGAACATGCATGTCACGGCAATCACAACCACGAGCGCCATCAGGAAGTAGAAGAAATGGTCCGGGCGCCCATTAAAGAAGGCGAGCTGAATCGCCGCAACAATCGGGGAGCCCAACCCATTGAACGACTTCGCAATTGCCACAATGCCGCCCCGGCTGGATGGAAATAAGCTGAGCATCGTCATTTGAATGCCGATGTCAAACATGATGGTGCCAATGTTTAGGATGGCGTTGAACACGCTGAGGCGCACCACCGTGGCGTAGACGAACCCGTTGAACGACAACGCCAGCAGGAGAGCTCCGATCGGAAAGAACACCGTCGCAATGCCAAAGATGGGTATGGGGCCGAAGTAGTCGTACACAAACCCGTACGGGAGCGTGAAAAAACAAAAGACGGTACCCACCGTGCCGACGGTTGACAGATCCTTCTGCGTTAGTCCGTACTTCTTCTCGAGCTCCCCGCTGAAGAGGTTAAAGAAGTGCGCAAAGGAGGCCGCAATGCTGCCGAACACGGCCACCGAGACGATGCCGAAGCGCTTCACCTCGCTCAGCGGCGCAAGGTTGTCACGGAAGGTCTCCACCTTCACAATATCGGCCACGTCTTCGTCCCCGCGGAGCGCTTCCTCCTCCTCCTGCGGGAACCCCGTCGGCGCTTCCTCCACGTTACTCATTGCAGGCTGAAAGAGAGAATGCAACGTTAAGGCGTTCTAGCAGAGAGAGGCGAGGCAGAAACAAAAAGAAGTAGCAGAGAAAGCGGCAAGGGCGCCACGCAGCGGCAACAGTGCGCCGGCACACAGAGAGGGGCAAAGACGCAAGCGCACACACAATGGGATGAAGTTCGTCAAGTATCGAGAGGCCGCCACCGCGGCCATGCTGCGGCGCTAGAGGAGAATCCCGTCCTCGGCAGACCAACCGGCCGGCAGATGCCTCGGCCGCATCCCCCGCAGGAAGGCGGTGCGCCAGCGGTGGATGAACTCCCCCACCGCGTGGTCCCGGCACTTGTGGTCGTGCGCATCGTATTTCTCCAGCACCGCCTGAACGACGAGGAAGCCGTGGCTATCCACGGCAAAGTTATCCTCGTCTCGCTCCCCATGCTCGCGCGGCTCAGGCATCCCCGCGTCGTCGCGGCGCTCACTACGTCGCGTCGTGCAGCTGAACAACTCGCGCACCTTCGGGTGCTCGCGCAGCCAGAAGCGGGTCAACACGACGCGGGGCGAGGCCCCCTCCTCGAGGATGCACCGGACGGACGCCGCCGACGCCGCATCTGCGGTGAAGAGCGCCAGCTGCGCCGCCGCACACCGCGCGAAGGGGTACCGTGGGGCGTGCTGGCGGAGGTACGCTGCCAGCTGTTCCCGACGCTGCGGCGGGATCGCCGGCGACTTCACGGACGTTCGTTTCGCCGCCGCTCCCTCTTTCCTTACCCTTTCCTCCCTTTCTTCTTCTTCCTCCGCCGCCTCATAATCACTACGATTAGCCGCGTCCAGGGGCTCCTCGTAGGCGAGGCGCAGGGCCTTGGCGTACTTGAAGATGCTAAGGAGCACCCCACGATGTTCCTCGATGTCAAGGTACGCCTGCGTGATGCGCCTCCTCTGCGCCAGCGAGAGGACGTCCTCGGCGTCGCGGGTTGATCCCCTGCCGCTGCCGCTGCCGCTGCCGCTGCCGCTGCCGCTGCTGCTGCTGCTGC